GCCTTTGGGAGGCTGAGGCGAGTGGATTGCCTGAGCCTGCAGGTTCGAGACCCGCCTGGGCAGCGAGACCTCATCTCTACAAGAAATCAGAAAATCAGCCGGGCGTGGTAGCGCGCGCCTGTAATTCCGGCTACTCGGAAGGCTGAGGCGGAAGGATCGCCGGAGCCCAGCAGGTCGAGGCTGCGGTGGCCGGGAGCGGCCGCTGCACTCCAGTCTGGGTGACAGAGGGAGACTCCAACTCAGAAAAAAAAAAAGAACATCTCACTGCCAAGGAGGAACCAAAGTGGCACGTTTGGGTCCCATTTGTGACTAACGGGCAAAGGAGCTGGAACATTCCGTCTTCCAAGAGACGAGAGGGCAGGAGACTCCGTACTGTCGGTTATTTAAAGGAGTGGGAGGTCTCTGGTCCCTTGCGGGCTTGGGAGGGAGCTCTGGTTCCAGACAAGTGTATCCAGGAGGGCTCAGAGACTCCCCCTTCGTCCCAGATCTAGGGATTTCTAATGACACTCCAGGGTCTCATCTGGGTCCAGAGTGAGGCAGAGCTCGGGAGTCCCGGCTGCCCTTCCAGGTGAGGCCGCGAGGCCTGGAGGCAGAGTCCCACGGGAAGGTCCGCCAGGGACTGAGGAGGCCTGAAGGGCCCCAGGGCACCCAAGGGCCCATCAGCCTCTTGCCTCGGCACTGGAGCCCCCATTTCCTGTTCTTGGGTTTCTATTTTGTTTTATGATAGAGAGGTGGGATACAGGTGAGGATTGGGATACAGGTGAGGATTAACTGCATAAGTAGGCTATATGCAGGTGAAGTTTGGGCTTCTAACTGCCCCTCACTTCCCTGGTAGTGGACCAGGTAACCTTTGTGCTGGGCTAGGCACAGTGGCGCACACCTGTCATCCCAGTACCCTGAGAGGCTGAGGTGAAAGGACTGCTTGAGGCTGGGACTTCTGGTCCAGCCTGGACAACATAGCAAGACCTCGTCTCTACCAAAAAAAATTTTAAAAATTAGTCAGGTATGCTGGCACGCACCTGTCGTCCCGGCAACTTGGGAGGCTGAGGTGGAAGGATCGCCTGAGCCCAGGAGGTCAAGGCTGCGGTGAACCATGGTTATGCCACTGCATTCCAGCCTGGGCAACAAGTGAGACTCTGACTCAAAAAAAAAAAAATTGATGTGATCAGTCTTGCCTAGGATAGGGCCTTTTATGAGGCAAACCAGAGTGGGGGAAATAACCTAGCCATCTCGGCAACTGGGACAGCTGTTCAGGTAGAGAGACAGTCAGTGGTGGTGTTCGTGCTGGGTGTTTGGCCAGGGCGAGCTCCTGGTGTTCGGGACAGGAAGGACAGCTGGTCTCGCCAAACCAGAACAGGGCCCTCTAGGATTTCGCGGGCCTTCTCCAGGTTCTGATCCCAGCCACTCCTAAAATCCTCCCCTTGCCGGGTTCAGCGACCCTGCACTGGGCGTCTCCGGGCACACAGGTGTTCCTCAGACCGCAGTTACCCGCACAGTGTCTGTTACTCCTTTGCATGGCCTGAATACACACTACTTCATAACTGACCTCCTCCTGGCCCCTTCTCTTTAGTCTCTCACCTGTGGCCTGACATGGTAGCTATTTAGTGGGTCCCTGAGATTCCAGGTTCAAAGCTAGGCCAGATTAATTCCACTGAGGTGGCAGAGATAACTATCAGGTCTAGATTAAACGCAGACCATGCAAGGGCCAGGTAAGCTGTACTAGAAGTGGGGGCAGTAGTTAGCTCCTGGGAAAGGAGACTCTGGGGTGTCTTGTTATTTTAGCAAGTTTCTGCCAGCCAGGCGTGGTGGCTCACGTCTATAATCCCACTTTGGGAGGCGGAGGCTAGAGGATTACCTGA